GAAGCACAACTAGTGCGAACGTGGACGCCTAAATAAGAAAAACCTTTAGACGACACACATTGGTTTTGAGTCCTTGTTCATAAACTTGCAATACTTGCAATGGTGCTGAGCATGACCATGTTAATAGTGATAACCTAAGTTGCGGTCTTCACTAGCCCCTCCACAAGAGCAACTAGCAATCTACCAGTAAGCTTTTGGTCATTTTGAAAGATAAAGGCCGACAGCGATAGATTCGTGGCTTCACCGTTCACGGCCAGATTCCTAGCTGGTGAGACACCGATACCGCAAGATACGCAACATTAGGGATATGCAAGATGCTTGTGACAAGCTACATTTGGATATTCATCTAGTTTTTTTGCCAAGCGTCCTTGAATGGACTCTCCGTGCTGCTTGCCCTCTCGCTTCTACTTCACGCTTTGTTAAGAAACCGGCGATGACCTAAAGTCTAAATGCAAATTGCCATAAGCATCTTTCGTTTTCCTTATGTTGCGCTTCTTGCGGTATCGTTGTCTAATCAGCTACGAATCTGGTGGTCGACGGTAAAGCCACGACTCTATCGTCGGTCGCCCAGACTTCTAGGAACCGAGTTATGAGAGTGGTGCAAACTCCGCCCACTTCGGGGTGTGCCACGCCCAGCGTTCACATTCAACCTCTACTCCTACTCTCACCTCTACACACATTTTTTTCAGGTCTCTAAGTCATCTCGGAGCCGAATTATGAGGTCTTGTAGAAGACGTTATGAGTCATGAATTTTGTGGCAAACCCCGCCCACTTTGGTGCATGCTTAGCCCACCAATAGCATTTAACCCCTTTCCCTCCGGCAACCTTATCCACTTTTCGCGCTGGGGCTTCTAGGAACCGAGTTATGAGAGTGGTGTGGCAAACTCCGCCCACTTCGGGGTGTCCCATGGCCCAGCGTCAATAAACCGGGGTGACAACCCTACTCCTCTCTCACTGCTTCCCCACAGTTTCTCGTTTCCCGGCGCCATCACGGAGCGAAGTAGACGCTGCTTGTGGAGATGATCCGAGCTACGTACCGTGTGCTGAGGCAACCCTGCCCACTTTGGTGCGTGGGTCGCCCACTGATATCAGTCGGCTATCATCTTCTTCCCCAACCTCTTTCTACTTTTTCCCCATCTCTGGAACTTATTGGAACCGAGTTATGAAGTACCGTGGCAAACCCCCCACTTTAACGCATGCTCCGCCCGCCAACAGCAGTTGACCCCCTTCCCTCTGCCCAACCCTTATACGCTTTTTTCCCGGACTCCGGGACTCCTAGGAACCGAGTTATAAGCCTAATTGCAAACTCCGCCCACTTTGATGTAAGCCACGCCCATCCCTGACATTTAGCTTCCCCTCCCCTCCTGACCTCTATCCGTTGTTTTCCGGTCTCTAAGTCATCTCGGAGCCGATTTATGAGCTCTTGTAGAAAATGCTGTCCGCTTCACGACACGCTCCGCCCATTGTGGGCGGGCCTCCGTTCACATCATGCGTGCTGGAAATACCTTAGGCATTGCTCCCCTGCACTAATTTCGTTTCTGCTCTGTAGGCTTCTCTTAACCGAGTTATGAATATTTTCACTGAGCACCGCTTTTTTAGAGAACGCCCCGCCCACCGAGGGTGGGTCTCCCCAATTCGATCTGGCTTACCAACGCACACCTATGCCCACTTTTGTCCCGGTCTCGAGGCTGTTTTGTGACTGAATTTGAAATCAACCGATGCACGCCACGCCCACTGTGGGCGGGGCTCCGCTTGGCTGATGTGTGTTTTTTACTTCTAGGAGATATGGTACACCCATCCCAAACTTGACCTGGACCCAGTAGGTTGTTGTTCGCTTAATACGGAATTTCGTGACAGACGACAGACAGACAGACAGACTTAGCGCATTATATATAGTAGGATATAGTAGGGATGATAGTCGTGTATTGGATCTTCGAACTTAATGGACTTTAGGGAGCATGGCCACCCGAGACCACTGGCAAAAGCTCATTAGCAGCTCAAAGCTCGTTACTGGTATTAATTCTTGAATTTTATCTGTATCCGAGTCCCGGAGCTTGCTACGCATCTTACTGAACTAACCAGCAGTTCCCTTCCCCAGGAGATGGAGGGCCTATGAGGAATCACAAGGGGGCGAGCATCCAATATCAAAGATTAAAAGCTCGTGACTTACGCTGAAAGGATCCTCTGCGAACACTTTGCTTCTCATCAAACGAAATCTCGCCCCCGTCGGCTTCTCAAACGGCTGGCCGAATGAGTTTTTTTGCAAAGCTAAGGAGGGCATGTAGTTCGATTATTCTTCGCTCTTCTACTGACCCGCCGACACATCTTTAGGATCTCCGCAATGCTCAACAAACGTTTGAGATGAGGAGAAATGTAGGAACTTAGGCCTTCCACTAAAATCAAAGTGCGACACTGTTGTTCTTGTCTTATCCGTTAGAAAAGGCCTCCTCTAACAAAAGACGTAGAAATGGTGCATCAAAAAGAAATCCCGGAATCAAATTTCTTCAACCTTTCCATTCTATCTTCACAGCTCAAGCTCATTCACTTCCTTCAAAGTGCAGAGATTTATCACCCACGATCTCTTGCACTTTTTATAGCCTGATGTGAGTTCTATTTGCTGTTACGCTTCCTTTCTTTTTTATAATTATAATTCAAAAGAAACTCACTCGGAACAGCGTAACTTTTGTCGAGATGGATAGTGAGATTTTGTAGACGGAATTAGCAAAGTAAGGAAGTCCGTAGACGATTAGGCACAGACCGCGAGCGACGTCAAGTACGGCACAGTGAAGAACGATCACGTAGAAAACGTTGGTAAGAACCCGTCGACGATTCCTGAAATCAAACGATGGAAACAATGGGGTCTCTGCAGACACAATGGGCTCAAAGTCAAATCTCTTGTCTGGGATTTGGAGCTCAAACCCCATGGCTGGGGTTCAATCGAACTACTTTTTGCAGAGATATTCTTCCAGCAGCCGATTTATGGCCTGATATACATTACGATGGTACGTGATTTACCGCTAGCTCAAGCATCATATGGCCAATACCCTATTATGGAATTAAGAGTACAAGCATTTCGTGAGACTGATTATCGAGCCTACTTATTTGTGTTTTCTAAAATACTTAGTGATGTGGATGTCCATGATCGACTTATTTTTTTATGAGAGTTGTGTGCAGTATGTGTTGTGGTTTTTTAACGTGCGTCTCATGCAGACGTTCATAAACCTAAAGGACGATCACGGATTGAAATATGCAACCCTATTTCAGGTCTTATCCTAGAGGTGATGGTCGCAGAGATACTGTTGTTTTGGTTAAGTCAGGATACGCGGTATCCGTTGTAGTGTATTAGCATAGACCTTATTTTGTTTGCAAGAACTATATCGCGGCCCAGAACCCCATTAAATGGAACTCTTGCCTTGTCCTGATACTGGTTTTATTTGGCAAGTGATTCTCGATGATAGATGCGATCGACTCAATCTCTGCTCTCTCAGTGCACTCTCATATATATCTGGACGAAGCTCACCTCGTGTTTAAAGACCGTTTGATCCTAGGCGATAACGCACTTCGCACGGTTACTATTATTTAGTAATGCTCGCGGTTTAGCTTCTCTCAGCGAGGATGATATCTCAGATGTATACTTCTAGCTCTGATGTTTGGAGTGAGAGGGGAGCGTGACTTTTTCGACCTTAATCAATTCAGCCGCAGGTTCGCCTTGACTATTTTATTGTTCCGGCTCATAGATATTTAAGTTTGATAACAGCCCAGAGTTCCAAAAGTTTTTTGTGACGACATTTTTCAAAGTTTTGCGATCTTGTTACGGCTCCTTGACGCAGTGGAAGCGCGTGTTTCTTGCTGTGTGGAAGACGCCACTGGCCTACGGGTTTCTAGTTGTAAGCTCCGGGTGCGAACACTTCGCGTGATCATTATTGGATAGAAGTCAAGGCGCACTTTGCATTTTTTGATAAAGTGCTTTCTACTCAATTTTCTGAAGTATATAGTGTGTATGTATCTGGCAAACATTATGTAGATTACAATTTTGTATTGGCGTCTTTGGTATCGCCACGCGCTTCACAATGTTTTTCACTTCTCCAGGAACTTGCACTATCAGTATCTTGACTGGCAGCTCTTCTTGGTTTTCTAAGCTTGCAAGAGTTTTAAGCTCTGATGGATGAAACGCCATTGAGACTAGCTTTCTGTTGAAAGGACGCCTTGCGAGGGTCAACCTTACGTGCGCAATAGAACAACGAGGGGTCGCATTTTGCCGAACGAAAGGGGGGTCGCATACAGAGGGACGGGGCTGCAAGAGGGCGACAAGGCAGTGTGCGGCAGTGCACTTTCACGCCCTAATGTTCTCCAAAAGCTCTGCACCGTGCAGCTGTCGGAAAGTCGCACAGACAAGAGCTCCATGGGAGCATTAGAGCATGCAGGGTATTATAAGTCTCACTTCATCCATTATTATCATTGATACACGGACGACGTTTTTGCTCGACAGCATTGATCAAGATCACAATAGCCAAAAATTTTGTTAGAACGTAGTGCAAAAACATGGTCTATCATGATGAATTTGTTCTTTATTCGGTGTTTTTGAAAATACAAAAGTACGTATAACAGTTAGAATGCAACACAATCATACACTAAATTTGTAGATCAGAATCTGCACACAATCACGATACTAACACCTTCTTCAGGAAAATGGAGGACTTTCAAATGCGAGTGCGACTTTTATCCACAGACAGGTGCACGGCGTACACCCGAGCAGGCGTCTTCCCACGAAAACGCCTTCACTGTCAGGGGCCGTAAGCAGACAAACTTCCTCAAGAAAATTTTGATGCTTTAAATCAAATCTAAGCGGAACAAAATGTAGCGAACTTGCTGAATTGAATTTCAAAGACCCCTTATGAAATTGAAGCAGAAGAAAGAATTCCATGAAAAGTTAACGCTAGTAATAAAGTACTCTTCGCGTAGATTCTAACGGTCTTTACCGCTTCTCATTTTATGAAGTTTGAAGGAAGTTATGGGTTCTTGAATATTGCAATGTCGCGGTTCAGAAGAAAGGCTTGAAAAAAAGTCTATGAAAATAAACGGAACGACGGGACTCAAAAAAGTTTCGGCCCTTATTCGGAAAGCACTAATCTTCTAGTTTCTAATTAGCCTTAGACATTCGCAAAAAGTTGAATACGAAAGAAGTTATAAATGCTTTAATGTCGGAAACTCGCGCTTTCTCAAAAATCGGACCCCAAACCCCCCCGAACGGAACGACGGGACTATTTTTTGAAAGATGATCGCTGGAAAATTTTCAGGTGCTTGTTCGAAAGCTCTAATCTTCTAGTTTCTAATTAGCCTTAGACATTTGCAAAAAGTTGATTATGAAGAAAGTTATGAATGTTTGAATGTCGAAAACTCGCGTGTGCACAAAAACGGAACAACGGGACGATTTTTTGAAATATTGAACATCCGCAACATTTCAAATGCTTTTTTGAAAGAAAACTATTTGTATTTTTAAAATTTTGGTGTCCGGTTCCATGAAAACGCCTGTGGACGAAGATATAAGCTTTCAAAGAAGGCGCCCGTAACTATTGGAGATTTAGATTTTCCAGCTTCTACAAGAAAGACGGTTGGACGTTGACGGAAATCTTGGCACATACCTGAAATTAGAAACCACTAGGGACATAACGGTACCTAGGTTTACAAAAAATCCTCTCAATTCCTCTAATAAAACTTTTGATATTTCATTTTGCCTCAAATCCGCGTCCCAAGCGAGTGGAAAACGCGCTCCACGCTACCTCGCGCCGCGGTAAGGGCGCGAATTCCTACATTCAAACTTTACTATTCGGTTTCCTGCCTTATTTATTTCTGTTAAGGAATGTTTCTGTTCTCTTTTTGTTAGGGAACCCTTCCGTACTGCTTTAGAGGCCCTGCTTAAGGCCAGTAGGGGGTGTCAAAAATTTTTTCGCTGAAACTTCGTCTATTGGGGTTATCGGAGGTCCTGATCACGAATATTAGATCCATTTTTGACGTTGATACACACAGAAATACACCGTAACACTAAAAAACACACATGTCCAATAGGGGGGGTCGCACTGACACCCCTTGAAATGGAGGGGGTCGCAAAAAATTTGGAATTTGCGCAACGCAGGGTTGACCCTGCGCCTTGCAGGAACGAAGAACTCTTTTGTGGAAAACTCTGTCTCGAGAGTCAACCCTGCATCACAAACTGCACCTTGTCTTCATTGATTCGGTTCAGACAACAGGAATATGCCTAATTGTATGCCATATTTTCTTGTGACATGGTTTGAATGCATCAGAGCGTAGTAATGCCGCAAGTTAGTAGCTGCGTTTCTTTGTGGCCGTGCACGCCGCCTGTTCGTGTGGACCAACGTCACGGGCCTCCTGGAGTACTAATAGTTCTTGCTATGGACGATGAATGCCAGCCAGACTGATCCCTATCACGTCATGGTGTAACTCCCTGCTTCCCACCCCGTCAACCGACCTGACCGCTTTAGACTTGAACTTGCAAAAACCGAGACAGCGGTACTGATTTCGACATCACGGGTCGTACCAGCAGTGCTGAAAGAAATGTGAAAGCTGAAGTTCACAGATGGCCCATTCATCTGTTGATATGACTCCACCTCGTGTTCAAAACCGTGCAAGTCAGAGTCAGTTCAAGAGTTCAAGATCCCATTAGGTTGTTTCTGTTGGTTTTTCCCCTGCTTGCATCACTGAGCTCATTGGTTTCTAGTGGGCTGTCTTCAGCATGGACTCCACCTTCAACTTTGTGAAGCGGAACTGTGATTGAATGTCGCTGGTCCATTTCCATTTCTCACTCAAAAATCTTTTTATACGCGTGCTTCTGCACAGCCTGCTAGCTGTTATTTTAATATTCTTCAACTCTATTAGACTATTCTTCAACACAACAATTTTGCCCTGACATCCGAACAGGAGTAATTCGAGTTTGAATAGGAAGAAAAAGAAAGAAAGAAATATGGGAAAGCCCAACTGCTTATTCGAAGCACCATTATACACCTATTTTTTCGAGTGGACAGTTTGTTCTCATAACAATTTTTCAATTGGAGCACTTCCTACAACGAACTGCGAACGTTTTGAATGACAGATTTGAGACGGTTCGTGTGAGTGCGGTAGTTCGACCGACGTCTGTGGGTGCGAATTCTGTTCATTAGTATTCTTGTGAAACTCATGGGAGTATTTACTGTATGTTGTAGATTATACATATATGAACCATAAGTGCAAGGTAACACATATACAGATCAAACGCTGCAAAAGCCTTCCTTTTGACGCGAAGGACGTTTCAAAAGCAAATAAAGTACATATAAACTATTAGGTCGTGAAGAAAGTTCTTGCGCTTTTCGGTGTTTCGTTTTTGAACGCTTTATTTTGTTACGAATTCAAGCAAGCCGCCAATGAGCTGTATGTGGTTTTGAAGAGCTTTTCTTGTTCTATCTAACAGCTAGGCTAGCTATGTTTCTTATCAATTAGTCCTGCAAACATCCTACTCGTAGACCTTTTGCCTATAATTTGTCACTTTCTCGACTACCTGGATAGCTTCTCCAAAGAGTTATGCTTCAAAAACCAACATGATGCGGAAACGACCTCCGCCGGGTTCATCGTCTCTAGAGCTCCAGTATTCTGCACTACCGGGCTGATTCAACGCAGCTATTATTGGCAGAGGTTTGTGGATTCTAACAGTCTTTACTCCAATCAAAAAGGTTTCGAATGAGCCGAGATACAGGCATTTGAAAATCAAGGTCCAAAAGCGCAAGAACTTTCTTCACGACCTAATACATGCTATTGGGTTGTCTCATAATTCCTGTCTCAATTTCGACACTTTTGTTTATTCAAGTTTTATCTCTTCTAGGAAACAACTGATCAATAGCATAACCACCATCATGGTCACTGATATGCGTGCATTTGCTAGTGAGCGTTTGGAAGCTTCCAGCCCAGAATGAAGGAAGCTGGGGGTTGAAGAATTTGGAGAAGTCGTTTTTGGGGTTGTCGCAATCCTTAACTTTCTTCTCTGGCAGATGCTATTCAGGGCGCAGGGGAGGCGATAGTCCGAGAGCGATGCCAATGCTATATGGTGGATGAGGTATCGTGGCCCTGGCTATCTCCCTCAGAACGTGGTGAGTTGGCATTGCAATGTGAGGTCTGGCGTACATTTGGAGAAAGGAGAATCTGAGACGTTTCTGACGATTCCCTCGCAATACCGAAGCCAGCCTAGAGGGCTATTCCACGCTGACTTTAGCAATGCTTGTCTTCATACATTGAAGTGGTTCCCAAACCAGGCCACCCAGCGAATCCAACAAACGAGAGCGATATTCTCAGAAAACGGAGTTCGGGCTTTGGTTGAGCTGGTGCTTCCTGGCTGCGAGGCAGCCATCAGACGTGCCGCATGTTGTTGTCGCAGTGGACTCATGACTCATCTCCACTGGTGACCGATTAGGGAAGGCTCTGCCGTCGCAGAATGAATTTTCCCCATGGTCAGGCGTGCTTCTCGCTCATGGTCGGCCGGACCATAAGGTTTCCATCAAGACTTCATTCTGCAGCAGTCCTTTCCATACTGATGGCGTGTGCTGGTGCATCGGCTGCGCCCAGGTATCTGCTACAATACCCTGGTAGCAACGTCCGGAGGCACTCCCAATTTAGGGTGCAAGGGGCGCTCATCAAAAATGACCGCAGGCCCAGTATGAGGTTGAAGTTCATAGCTCGTTTCGTCTTTGCCGTTGCGATTGGACCACTAGCTCAGTACCCTATCAGTAGCAGAGACTGAGTCAAACACAGCGCTGATCTTCTCTGTTGTCCTCCTTGCAACAGAGTTCATTTGAGGATCGTAAAGCATAATCATTCATTTAGTCACTGACCTATTTTTATTCCTAGTTGATTAACCCGTTAAGGGCTTGCTCTTCCTGACCTACGCGTTCTTTGAGGCTCTTCAACATATCAACGTATTTCGCAATGGAACGGTCTCAGACAAAAGAAATTTGAATTTGAACAGAAATGAGACAGGAATTACGAGACAGCCCAATAGTTACTATGCCAAAGGCTTATTTTTTCCAAATATCGTGGGAGTGTACATAGTTTTCGGCCTGCAAGAAAAGTTCAGCTTACCAGGAAAGGTCATTTGGCCAACCTGGCCAGTTTGAAAAGAGGTGTGCATTTCAATACGCGTCCTAAGATGCTGAGCTCAACTCTGCTTTCCGTATCTGCTAAACGCTTCTCTGAAAAAAGTCACGAAGGTCTTTCCTTTCCCACCTTTCGCTTGATTTTCCATGCTTTAGCCTGCAAACACAATTGTATAGGCCTTCTTGCAGTATACCCCTCATGGAAGTCCGCTTTCAAGGTTTGACTCGCGTCCTGATAACGGGTCTTAGCCTTCTAAATACAGTTCGGGTTCAATTTCCGATACAAAACGTGTCTGTTCATTGCATTTTTTCGAACACTAGCTGAGATAGCCAGTTTCTGAAACATTATTTATTCTAAACTGAAGCTACATTTATGAAGAGTGTGCACAGATCCCCTTGAGTTTGAGCACTATTTGTCAGTGAGGGTCCATGATGCCCTTGTGCAGGTGCTAGGCTTTTCCGTGGCAAGTAAGTATCGCATCGTGCTCAGGAGATCAGATTCCTCAAAAACCGACTTTCTCAACTGAGGTAATGAAAATCATGGTTGACGACGAAACAGATAGCAGGATTAACCGACTCCACAAATTCCAATTTAAGGGTGAAAAACGTGGACGACGGAAAATGGGTAGAAGCGGCAGTCGTAGGCTCCTGTGACTATAATCAGCCCTGTAAGACCGACTAGATGACGAAAATGACTCGTTCGATATTCTTCGAATTAGGTCAAAAATTTCAGACTTGGCATAAAAAACTTTGGCCCCCAAACTGGGGAGTCCCGAACCCCCGTATCCAACGCAGTATCCTTACTACTTGATCGGAGCGACAGTGCCTGGCGTCTGCGCTACTAGGCTCAGAATAGTCAGGAGCGAATGTCATATTTCGTTATTAACTGCCCTTAAACTTCTACGGTGACTATGCGCAAACACGTCGGACTATTAGTGTCAGGCCTCTTAGCTACTCGCACGACGCAATGAGGCCATAGCTCGACCAGACCTCTGCTTCGTGATCCAAGACCAACTGACCGCTATGCGCTTTATTCTACTTCACTAATCCTTTTCAGAGAAGATATCCTTCTATTTTATAAAGCGCTAACTTTGTGTGTCGGTTTGTGTGTCTGTATGTGTGTGTGTGTGTGTATGTATGTATGTGTGTCCGTCCGCAAAATGAAGTGAGTGAGAAGGAAGCTCATGGGATAAACAAACCGCTAACAAATCGGGTAGCTTACAGGATTTGAGATATCAATGTTTTGTAGCAGGATAGTTGTGATAACACTCTTAGGGCTATATAAACACCTGCTTAGCACACTTCCGTTCATTCCACATGGTGCTGCAGTGGCAGCTGGAGGGCAGTGGAGAGAGGAAGGGAGGATGAGGAAGGGAAGCGAAAAATCTACCGTCATATCATGATTGTGTCCCTTCTACTGTATGAAACACCATTGTGTTGCATACGCGTCACTTCCAGGAGGTGTTGGTGTCACAGGAGGAAGGGACCATAGCGGAGGATAGAAAGCTTGCGCAGGAAAGGAAGGTCCCGGCGGTTGACGGGGGACTAATCTGGTAGATAATAAAAGCAGATTCGAGCTCAACCTATCAAGGCGCGTAAGAATGTATACATTTCATTTCAATTGGTCAGGTTGGCCAAATGACCTCTCCTGGTTAGTTGGCTCAAACTTCTTAACAAGTAAATAAATAAACCTTAATAATAGAGGAGATGCATGTGCAGTAAAAGAAAGCATGTGAAAAAGAAAATAAATGGCATCTGACCTGACGAGAGCTGAGATCACAAAGAGATTGAGAACGACTGAAAGAGCACCAAGTTGACCACAAAGGAACACTGCTGTAGAGGCCATCTGTAAAGGAAACCTTGTGAAGGCTGGAGGGAGAAATAAACTGGGAGCGTCTTTCAATAAATCAATTTAACTCGACACAAAAATTGTGTGAGAAAAAAAGCTTCATTTCGACAAATCGGAGTCATTGAGAAGAGCGAATCGCGCCTCCATCATTGCCAGAGGAAAAGCAATGAAGAGCGCAAAGGCGAAAGAATGCACAGCAATCGGAGAATGTTTCCTTGGAACTGATTCAATTCGTTGAATGAGCTCAAATGTGATAAGATAGCAATCATTGGAACAGGACTCAGCCATGTCTGGTGAATCACAGAATTTCCCAGAAACACGTGCAGGTTCACACACAAGGCCATAACTATGAGAAAGTACCGCTTCCTGGATACGTGGTAATCATGGAGGTAGTGAGAGTGATGATAGAAAATTTCAAAAAACTGGAAATATCACTTCCCTCAATTACTTAAAGAATATGACTTTCAGCGAAATCTGAATGCTCCGTTTGAAAAGCCATTTTTCAGAAGAGTGAACTTGATGGCAAAGTAAACCCGAGAGAAAATTGAGCCTGTTTTTGAATCAGTAACTCATCCCATTTTCCGTTGGAAGTTGCATAAAATGGAGTGCTTGACAGGTCAAACATCTGCCCAATTGCATCCCCGATTCTCTTTCCCTGCCTGATCGGCTAAATAGACTTGGCGGAAATGGGCTGAAGGCAGTGCAATTCGGACGCGAATATATCTACATAAGGAGATCTCCGTGGAGAGAATGCGGCCGCAGTCCTAATAGCATCTACCATGAGAGCATCGGAGCCGCCCTCGGACAACGAGCACAGAAATCCTCTTGAGGTTTCGTTTGACATTTTCTCAAGTCTTTTCCAAAGTACACAAATGGAAAGAAAATGGAAGGTAGCAAAAGTCTGAACAAGTGAAAATGATTTTGAAGGGAGGCGACAGCGGCAAATTTGTACTTGCAGTGCAAACTTTCAAAGAGCGGGATTATATATCAACACAACAAACAACATGAAGTAAAGCACGCGAACATCAACATGATGAATAGAAGTATAAAATCAATAAATTGACATAGAGACATGAACGAATAACTGCAATGAGTGGAAGTGAAGAGGGACTTTCCCATGGCACTGCGCCGAAACATGTGATTTACTGGTTCGCCCGAAATATCTCAAGAATTCAGCATTTGTCCCTTATGTACCCGGCGTCCACTGCAGAATTCGCAACACAACCGACGACGGACACAAAATTTATTATAGTTTCTGCCGAAATGGCTAGCCTGGTGCACTTATGTTGTTTCAATTGTTGTAAGTTGCAACTTCATTTATCAATTATCGGCTATCACTACAAATTACTAGTTATCAGATTTACCTGGAGGCATTCGTAAATTATGTTGTGGAGTCTGTAGTGCAGACCTCCCTGACCGCCGGATACAAACGGTACATATAAATGACGGCTGTAGAAGGCCAAGTACATGCACATTCGCATTTTCTCCTCTATTCTTTCTGCCCTTTTCATTTCCTTCGAGTTCTCGAAGATTTTTCCAGAGAAAAAAATGACATTCCTGGACAAGGTTCTTCGAGAAGCACAGAAAATTACCTCGCAAAGTAGAGAAACCCTACTGAGTTCCGACTTCTTTTTTTCTGTTAATTGCTGTTTTGGCCGCAGTTAACAAACTAGATGTTTGTTAACAAGTTAACAAACAAACTAGCCGCTGGTAGCGCACTAGTCCGGAAAACGAGGGGTACGGGTTCGAATCCCGTCTGGGGCGAAAGTTTTGTTCATAACCCAGCATTCTTGAAACCTACTAAGTTCCTTCAAAAATGAAGGAATCATCCATGTAAAGTTGCTATTCCCTATTTCTTCCATATAAGTGCTACATGCGACCTCGAGAGATGGTGTGCAAAGTTTCGTGAATGAAAATTAAGTTTTCGGAAAGAAACAAGGCTTTGAAGCCTTGTTTTCTTTTATGAGCCCTTCAGCTCCGCCCTTCAGTACACTTTGTGGACGGGAGGGTCTAGCCAAAGGGACCATGCAAAGAAGAACGCCCTGGAGTGTCTACGTGTTACAATTAATTGAAGAAATCCAATTGGAGTGGTCAACTTCGTAAACCAGAAACAAGGATTGCCTGTTCCCATGTGCGACTCTCAATGAATCTTGGCATGAGTCGTAGAGAATATGTCAGTATAGTGAATAAGCTCCAACCAAGATTGATAACAACTTTTAAGAGCTATAAGACTTTCAAAATAAACTCTGGTTTAGCTGGAACATAAAGAAGGAAATGGTTTGCTAACCATTCAATATCGGAGTTTGAAGTTCGAGATATTTCTGTGAAAGGCCTATGGCCTAAGCCTAATTTGAAATTACTTTAGAATTAAATTAAATTTTATTTTATTTTTCGAAAATATTTGCTTTACATGTTTATTAAATGCCCGTAAATCGAAAACTTCGTTCCGCGATGGAATCATTTTAGCCTCATGGTCAGACAGAAATTTATTCCCAGTGATTAGGGATATGCCACGGCCACGCTAATCAGGGAAGGCCCATAAGCTGTGAAAATGCGTTTAAGACAAATTTTCTATATCATTAAATTCTATATCATAGGCTTTTCAAGTGATTCCAGAATCGAGCTAATGACGGTCCGAAGCCAAGATCGGTTCACAATTTCCATGGAACTTTTAATGGAGATCGGGTAATTATGAAGTATACTTTTTACAAATACAATAATGTTTGATTTCCTGACATGATTGAGAGAAAATTTTACTGTTACTTTATTATGTGGG